ACTCTGTAGTTTTGAGTCTAGACGGAACCCTCTGCCAATCGATATGTATGAGTTAGCTCATATATCTTCCGAGTTTGGGAGAACACAGCCGTTCCTAGAGTCTCGGTGTGTTCTCGGTGCAACCACTTATTTCATGCTCCGAAAAGGGTTTTTGACCCCATTGGTATACGTACGCTTAGTCTAACTTGCCAGTCAGTTGTAGTCTGCTTCGAAGATTAATTTGTCTTTAGATTGCGAATCTTCCCTGGGGCAAAGCACTCCGACCGAATAAATATGGCTGGTGTATTGCACGTACGTCGCAAAGTATTATGGATGGAAATTTTCATTATCACAGTTGCCGCAACTAGACGTCGGCTGTTCAAGCAATGCAGTACCTGTAAGGTAGTCCGATAGACCACGAACGATTTCACCCTTCTTGGGGCTCATCAGGTAGGCGCCTTTCCTGAGTTTCCGTCAATATCATGATCTACTTAAAACGAAATTGCACAAACTTTGCGGAATACACTCATTTGCAAACTAACTTGGTTTAGCGAGGGCTCGCCTGGAACCAAGCTAACTCTCTCGGTTTTGATGTTTCTAGGCAACTGAATGTGCTGCACCAGGCAGCTTCATTTTACCATCGCTACGATATTCAAGATATCGCAATACATATATTTGTAACACACTACTCATAAGGTTGCTGAAAAATCCTCGACGGCCAGTGACCGGTTTCGACCTTTTTGAGGCTCAGTAGGTAGGAGCAGTCCCCGAGTTTACGTCAGCCTTATGTTCTTTTCGAAACAAAATTGCACGAAATTAGCTAAATGCACTCATTAACGGCTGGGTTCCTGGCGAGTCTCCAACTGTACAGGACCCAAGTGTCACCTCTCAGGTTCGTTTGGCGCAGCTGATCATGGTGTTGAGAACACTGATGAACAGACACTTGACCCAAGACAAAACATCTCAAGTCCTGGGGTAGTCATCATGGGAGCATACAGAGCGACATCGAAAGTGCGGATTGTTAATATGTCCAACATAATGCAATCCAATCAGTTAAACATTGTTTTATCTGCAGAGTTCGCTATTTGAAACCCAACTTAATATTTTCATCTAGCATCTCGCTTCCTTCTATCATGTTTGATGGATCAATCCAGGAGCTGAGTTACAGCGACCGTGTTTTTGCTGTTTTGCCCGGAGGCGCGGCACACATCCAAAGTTTTCTGCTTCCAGTCTTATTATTCGACATCCAATGGTCCATTCTTTGGAAAGCTTTATTGGTGCCACTGGCTCAGCTCGACTCGCCTCGTAGGATAACTCAGTGCAAAACATGATCAAACGGTGCTCATTGCGGCTGCACATAGCGAGTGTGTCTGGAGCGTCATCGATCTTCTCGGTTTGGAAGGGATTGTGAACAACTCAGATAAATTGCCAACACTAGAAGCGGGTTTTGACACGAAACATCTCTAACCCGTCCTCGGGGTAGGCCAAATGGCTGTACCCCTAATTATCAGGTAATGATCGCCTCGTCACGGCGAGTAGCACGACTTCCCCTCAGATCGTCTGGAACCAGAAATCCTGGTAGTAACGGACGCGCTGCTCGTCGCCAGGCGTTTTTATTTAGGCCTTTCTGATATGTTTCAATCCTGAAGAAAGATGTTGCGAACCAACCTAGGGGTGATCGTGGGACCTCAGCCGAACCACAAAAAGGGACTGCATTTCGTCAAGTCGTATATATGGGTATTTATATTTATTTATCTATTTGTTTATTATTTATTTATTGTTTACGTTTTTTTCTTTATCAGCATCAGAATAATGCAGTTTAAGTAGAACCGTCTGACTGTGTGCAGAGAAAACTCATCACTATGCTTTAAACACCTGCAATAACACTCATATATATGAAATATGTATCCACATTCTTTCTTTTTACAGTGCATATAGATTCATGTTTTATGTCGGATGTTCGTAGGATTGATTCTGTGATGCAACAGAGTAGTTGCATGCCTGAAAGGGTTAGAATGCAATGTCTACCATCGGCTTTGTGTCTAGAAGTGATTGTTGGGAGGGTACTGTTAAAATTAAAATGCCTGTTGATTACTGTCTCGAATTTTATCTCACAATAGATATTCCGGTTACCAGTGAGACTTTGTCTAAATAGGATTCCATAAACGCACATTTCACTGGTTTACGATAATTTGGTGGAATTGCACCAGGTGTAAATATGTTAACGATATTCAACTGCAACCTGCGTTATTCCGTTTTTGATGGCAAACACGTCTATGGTAAAAAGCGATAATGAATTTGCATCTGAGTTATCTATATGTTCCTCTAGATATTACCCCGAAGAATGCCGTTACATCGTATAGATTGTGAATGGATGAAGGGTCAATACTGTGTAGTACAGCGCGATGTATATTCTGTAAAAACGCATAGAATATTTTTACACCAACGCTCAGGGGTGTAGATTATGCCACAGTCATATATATGCAGTTTTAAAGTGTAGAATAGCATAAGGTTTTACAGCGAAGTAAGAAAGAAACAATCCAACAACCCATATAGCATGGTACAGTACGCTGCTTTCCCAGCCAAGAAGGGTAACATTGTGTGCTTCGCGCAAGTCGGTGGTCTAATTTCTCCACTCATCTGGCTTCTAACAAAGTTAAATCCGATTTTCATAGTGCAGACTCTCACTTTTCAGACGCAGCCCTCCATTCTTTGTACTATTCATCCTCGGAACTCAGTCACTCTGTTTTTCAGTTCACTCAATTCCTCTACCTACAAAGTAGTGAAAAGCAATAAAAGTATACGTTCGTGACCTTCGCGGCATCATAGCAGCTGGGTGAATTTCCAATCTAGCATTCGATGAAATTATCATGCATCTATTATGGGAAGACCAGATGCAAAGGCAAACTTACCTGTTCCGATATAGAAGCAGTTTGAAGTGACAACCAAATTTTTACCTCTTGAAAATGATCACTGTGTTATGACTGACCGGAAGTTCTGAAGACTAGCTTTCGTTTGCATAGATGACAACGTTTTTTAACAGACAACTTTCGACTTACTGGCCTTCAAGGGCATCTTATCGGCAACCACAACAGACTTTCTGTGGTCCTTCGTTTTCCACATTTCAACTAATGAACTTTTGTTGGTTTTTGATCAGGTGACTGTTGATCTGTTCGTCGAGCTCGGCTCGCAAGCGTTTTGTCACCACACGAGGTAACATCATCAGTGCGCAGTTGGGCGGGTACTTCTTCCTTGCCTGCATCCGTTTATATGGCATGTGAAAACTATCTGTTTTCTTCTAGCATGATTGGCTGCTTTGGGTGTAAATATTTTCGTGAATCTATTGGTCCGTTGGTGATGTTTGTTGCGTTGTGGGCTTTCTATTTGAACAATCGTCTGACGAACGAGAATCCCCTTTGTGTTCTGCCTAACTAGGCCTGCGTATAGTTAGACCATCTATTGAAAAACCACAGTGATCAGTGCACGGCAAAGCGATACAAGGACGAATGTATCTTCAGTTTATGGGCCTTGCACGCCCAGTCTGTAAAAGTGGTTTAGCTGGAAACTAGTGCACTGTATCAAAATATTGAAACAATCAGCTTTAGCGTACGTTCATAACAAATTGTATGTTATTCTACATGGTGGGCTTCCTGGGACGATTGACCTGAATCATAGAGTCCTCAAAAAAGTGTTTATGTGCCCGTTTTACAAAACTGATCATACGACAAATATTAACCGAAGGACTAGTTTGCATTTGCACCAGAATCAGTCCGCTTCTTGGCCAGTCTAGCCTCTTTGCCTTACAGATTACTTAACAGTTTATCGAGTGTAGAAAGGACGCGCAACAAACAAAAGAAGGCAAAACCCACAGGCTGAAGTTGACCACAAGCACTCCGTTTTCAGTAGTAGCAAAACTGGCGGTAACAAAAATCTACTCCTGAGATTCCTGAAATGCATTTTCGATGAATTTTGCAATGTCTAAACGTAGGGTGCTAAGGTTCCGATTAAACGACACATTTGGCCTTCGATGCACAATTCTGTCGGATTCTTTTGTCGCTGAATGAATTAAACTCACCCACCCTCATCCATCTGTTAAACAATGTGCCGCTTTCCACGGTTGTTCCTTGCTACAAGCCTGTCTGATATCCGCAGGATGTCTGGTTTCCAAGACTGATCAAAGTAAATGTGGATATGTCGTTTGGCATGTATTCTCACTGTTCTCAAATAGAAGCGGCCACAAGAGTTGTGTCAAACATGCCCTTAGTGCGGCACGAGAATTTTTATTCACTTGTGAGTGTGTAAAGCTGGACGAAAGCAATACCCAGAATATTCACACAGATCTCAATGGTACCGTCTCATCTTTGTCAACCAGCTTTTGATGGTCTTCAACTTAGCCATGTGAAATTTATTGCAATAATATTCACGTAGACACATTTTACGGAATATTGCGCTTAGTTTTTTTCAAAAGTTAAAGGCGATTTGACGCATTCTTCTTCACATAAAACGTTGTGAGCGTTCAACAATCTATATATTCTCTTGTGACGTTTCCAAAGCGTGTTGAAAATATAAAATATGTTTCGGGACATCACGAAGGCATTAAGCACTAACCAAAGGCACACTGATTTTGTCGGGTAAATTCGCAAACCCCCGGGGGAAAATTAAATTCCAGATGAATATTGAAACGAATATCTCCAGGAAAAGTTGGTTTGATCCAGTCCTGGGTGTTACTAGAATACGTCATATGTATCAGGTAATATTCTGATTTAGACAATGACGTATGGTAATTGAGCAAGGACGAAAGGCGCCGCATTTACGTGCACAAGAAGTGTAAACAAATCAAACAACCATAAAAATGTCAGCAAAGTTTTTTACAATTTGTGATGGTACCGATTCTGATTTAGGAATGGTCGCATGTTAAACTAACACATATAACCAGGCACCACCTTCTGAATCGCCACCATACCTACCTGGTAACCTTGGTTTGCTCACCTTGTCTGCTTATCTTTTTATTGCCTTCCCCTTCAATTCACCAGATAAAGGATACAGATCACGCACTGATATCAACTTTTTCACCACCTTTCCGAATAATGACTGAATTGTTCCCGACCGTGTCACCAGCCTCCTACCTTCGGTGTTGGGTCCATGGTTGGTTCCGCTGGAATCGTTCGTTACGGTTGGCCGCCGGTGGAGGCTACGCGTTTGGTGCGGCAATCTCTCGCAGCCTGCTTGGTCCACCTAAAGATGAGCCAGTAAAAGAACTCCATCGAACTAAAACCAGCACCTCACCCTACATAGGTTGGATGTACGACAAAGCCGTAGACGCCGCAGAATCTCTTTTTGATGAGAACTTTTCGGACTATTTTTTGAATTCTATTTCTGTAGCTCCTTTGATCCGACTGGTTTCCGACTGGGAGTTCTTGCCAGATCTAGCCTCTCAACCCTAGATTTTCTTTTTTTGCGCTCCTTATCTGCATCATGTTTATATTTTCCGTCGCTATCGAGCGATCAAGTGAGCAATCTCAATTTTTTAAACCTCATTTTTCCATTATATTTCAATTTCCCCATGAACCGCCGCTGAAGTCAAGTTAAAGTGTTGTATATTGCATACCTTCACTCGTGTGATAACCAGTTCCTACACCCTACTTTTTATACCTTTATATTGTAATTTCTGATTTCAAACAATTCAATAATGCTGATGGAGAATTTGAGAAACTGACTTCAGTCACACAGTACTTGCATGGGAAGTGCTTCAGTCCCATGGGTTTGAAAACACGTTGGCTTCACTGAAGCCCCTGCTAGTATGACCCAGCACAGCACACCAACGCCACCTGTAGATAGTGTGGTACTTGCAAGAGCTGTCAATGTACTTCCAATCATAAACACCACAGGTGTTGACAATGGTGTTTCACCATCTTGCTAGTTGTACTCGGACTGGGGTGTGAAAACCTAAGCAGGAGAACAACTAGGAGTAAAAAATCGTTCGGTTGCAACATCCTTCACGGCTCATGATGTTCAAGTTGAGTGAAATGTGTGTGCGGGGGCAGATGTTTCAAAGAAACCAGATTTTACTCACCAAAAAGCGCATAAAACACAGGCAAATTCCGCAGCTGAAAGGTTCAAGTTTCCCCTTATTAGCTGCAAGTTACTTTTCTATGCCTGTAATGTTCTCTTTTAGATTTTGCTGAAAACTTGGCTCGACTGGTGGAATTATATGGCTTTAGACTGGCTGGTGAACTTCTGCGGATCGGTCCCACGTTCCACATTTTGCTAAAGCATGTTGAGAATGAACAAGCAGTCGGAACACCCACTGGGTTGGAAGCAGATGAGTCACTGCTCATGTGAAGATACACTGCCGCTATAAACCTTCCATTCTGTACACTAGAACCTCAAATGGAGTGCGAATCTTAGGTACCACCGCACGAACTGAAGTAAGAGCTTCCTTGACAGGGTGCTCTAGAAGGGTAGATAGAGCAAACAAGTTGGAAAAATGTATATTTGCTTTCCCAGAGATGCTGAATACATGATGGTGGCCAGGGTAATGACTAGTATTATACTGGGCTACTTTACTCATACATCAACTCCAAAAGGGGTCTCTGATTTCTTACACACACAATACGAAAGTAGACAACAAATACACTGCTTTTAACTTGCCGACAGGCGTTAGAAGTTGCATGCACGTGACCTGGAGGTAAATGATTGATTCCATCGAGATTCTGACGAATGAGCTATTGTTCGGTAATTGTTCTGCATGGCACAGAGTACATCGATATGTATTCAGCTCAATAGGTTTCCAATGGATACAAGTTCTGGGTTTTTGTGTATGAGTTCCGAAAGGCAGTCTTATGTCTTTCACGGTACCATAACCCTTCCAGAAGAATGAGCGTTTTTTCCGAACATTTACGATCATTTATTTATTTACTTGGAAATCTTTGCGAGTAGCAGTCTTTCGTTAATTCCAATGGCATATGTTATCCTTCTATTCATTCCCCCCAATAATAAGGCATGTTAGAAACGAGCAGAGCTGACTCGGAAAGAAGCTCTGTTGCAAGGAATTTCGAAGTGAAGGGGCAAACAAAGTTTCCTATTTCCTCCTTACCAGGAACGGACTAGTATGCAGAATGAGCAAGGCTAACTGATAGACATGTGCACATCAAACTGGCCGGACAAGTTGAAGATCGAAGGATAATTTAGCCGTACAAGACGGAACCTGTCAAATCAAAATCCGGATGTGACCTGGTAGCTATTCGTGAATGTGAAAACAAAAATAAACTCAGTCTGATTGAAGTTGCCAAGATCCTGTTGGACGTAAACCTAGTTCGATCGTGGGTGTCTGGTAAGTATCATCGATAAACCGCCAATGTTTACCTAATCGTGGGACTCGAAATGTCAACGTTGCATGTTGCAGCAACGCAACATGAGGAGAGAAGACTCATTTTAGTCTCCAACCTCATGGGTCCGACGCTGGTGGTCGATATCTGAATGTCACAAAAATAGCTTATTTGAAAGTCGTACCGTGAGAAAAGCGATACGCTGTCTGGTGTTTCCGCTGCATGACATTTTACCCGTTTTTTGTAATATCTCTCTTGGTATTTAGTTAATGCTGTCTGCAGGGACCACAAGGGTTACAGTGGGCTACAAAAAGGAACATTTTTACTGTCTTCACAAACCACACCTAAGGCACATAAAACAGCCGAGTCAGAGATACCCTCATGATATCATCAGTTCCTCGAACTGGAAATCTCCCTTCCGACTCGTGAGATATCCTCACTGCTGCGCCGAATTTGCACCAAAAAGAAGCAATTAATAGGCCATAAACTTTGCAAGTTTTAGTGACGATGGTCGCCGGTTTATTCTCTGAGCTCGGAAGTTTGATTGCAAACGTTTCATCACCAATCGAGGTAGCGTCGTGGAGCGTAGCGATGGATTGGTAGTTGTGCGGTGTAGATTGCAACTGAAGGCGTATGTGCCTGGTTTCGGACTCAGTACATCTGCTAATCGACGAGATGTATTTGATTGGTTCATCCATTTCATGTATCCATTTCTTTCTTGATCGAAGTCTACATGAAGCCAAATGAACAATCCAAATCGATAAATCCTTCGTTTCCATATCTTTGAACATGTGGATTTGAAGGCTTTCCAGCATAAAATGCTGTGCGTCCTAGAATTTCCAAAAACAATTTGTGCGGCTTCTAAAGTTTTGCAAAGTTTCAAAAGCATAACGTAAAATCGATTAGTGTACTCGAGTTCCAAAATTGCAACAAACGTATTTCGATGAAGTGCTGACTACATGCAGCAGAATAGTCTGTTGGTAAACTCGTTTTGAAACAGTCGACATCATTCATCACTTTCTTTGAAGTTCTAACTATTACCACTCTGCCCTCAATTAAAGCCATACCCGCAAGTGACTGTTAATTCATTGCCAAAGCAGCAAAGGGCAGCATGATATTTCCATTGACCCCACGGTTAACGCCATTGAAGTCCCTGCGACACGAATAGGCACCGCTTCGATAATGAAACAAACATAGCGAGTATTCAGAAGGCTCTATGTTGACCAGTGAATAAGCTGGTGTCGCATTAGGTTGATCCACCTAAGTCACGTGCGTTCGGATATTGAACACTTTGATGATACGATGGGATGTACGAGTACCTTCACAATCTCTTGCTCCGGCTGTAACGCGTTGCATCACAGAACGTGTCCCCTATGATATGATGGCCTCAACTCAGGCTAGTCTTTCAAGTGCAGGGTCCTTCCGTGATATAAAATGGGAGGGGGGGTCCTCAGAAGTAGCTTCCCAAGGTAGTCTCAACAGCAAAATTTCACGAGTCTTGAAAAATGAGAACTGTTTTTATGGCTTAACACTTCTGGCTGTTTGGTTCAATCGGGCCAACAAACTGAGCCTCTTTCGAGGTTGACTTCATGCACTTTCAACAGCGTAGGTTCCTAATGAACTTCATAACTTGCTCTTTAGAGTTAGGGAAGTTAGTGCAACCAAAGTTAACTGGACGTGTCAGCTGTATAGTTCACAGCTTAGCCGAGCAGCTCATACAACCTAGGGTCTAGACAGTTTATTTTGTATTCATGCTCACACCACTTCCGTTTGAGCGATCGTCCTCCTGTACTGGCGTAATTATTCCGGTGAGTCCACACCAAAGGGAAGCACTGGACTCGCGTTTTGCTCTTATAGGTGCCCATCAGCAGTGCATATCCAATAGCCGTGCCAGGATTTGAACCCCGGACATCTGACATGCGAGGCGAGCGTGTAACCGCTACTTCACCAACGCAAGTTAAATGCGTCTGAATTTTCACGTCTGTAACCGGGTCTAGTGCATTCTTTGGTGTGGACTCGCCGGGATAATTACGCCAGAATAGGAGAACGACCGTTCGATCGAGAGTGGTGTGACTATGAACAAAACACCTATCCCACAAAACCCCAAAATCTGGAATTTCCCTGCTCAGTTTGCGACTATTTAAAAAAAAACTGTTTGTATCATCGAATCATCAAAAAACGAATTCGTGGGAAAGGCCATCAAATACTAGTTTATTACACATCTGGTGAGGATAGATCATATTGGGGCTCGAAATTGTTTAAAGAGCAACAGGTAAGCGTGATTAAATGGGTCCCAGTTTTTTTTATGGTGTGGACTCGCCGGGATAATTACGCCAGAATAGGAGAACGACCGTTCGATCGAGAGTGGTGTGACTATGAACAAAACACCTATCCCACAAAACCCCAAAATCTGGAATTTCCCTGCTCAGTTTGCGACTATTTAAAAAAACTGTTTGTATCATCGAATCATCAAAAAAACGAATTCGTGGGAAAGGCCATCAAATACTAGTTTATTACACATCTGGTGAGGATAGATCATATTGGGGCTCGAAATTGTTTAAAGAGCAACAGGTAAGCGTGATTAAATGGGTCCCAGTTTTTTTTCAATAAACCGAGGTCAACCGAGAGAATAGCCGGAAGTTGTCACATGCATTGTTGTTCAGAATGTATCACCCACTGTTCAAGATGATCCAGCAGGATCCACCACGCAGAGTTTCGAAAGACAATCTCAACCATTCACGGAAATGAGTGACTGTTTTTTTGTATTCTTTCAAATTCAGAAGATTCACAACCACAGCGCATAGGGAAACCGCCTTCGAGTGTTCCAGAACGACATATGCCGAAGTACAAGCGGACAATTTAAAACCAGGAGCAGACTTCCAGATTGTTCCGTTCTAACACAGTGAGACAACACAGCGACAACGGTTGATGGCTAATTGGTCATCCAGGGACCTTTGGACAATAGCGTAACTTGAATGCCTGTCAGAGCGACCTGTGGACTGCCAAGTGGGCGAACCAGATGCGGGCAAATTGAAGCGTGAAATGAATAGTGGAGAATGCACGCAGATATCGACCCTATGTTTGCAATACGTAAAAGATTGTTCAAAAGAGATTCCAGTAGATGAATAGGAGTATACTGTTTTCGTGCCTACCTTGAAGTCGAATTCTCCCTGGGACACAAGTTTTCGCAGCTTGAAGCATTATTTCGATTTGACCAGGGCTGTTGTTCAGATACTGCTGTTAAATTGCCATTCAAGGCAAGCTAGATAGCCAGTATCGGTGAACCAGGATGGAAGAACAGGGTGTTGTTTTGAGTAACTTGAAGCAGACGAATATAGAAAGAGAGAATGGAGACGTAAGTTTTTTCTGCCATTCGCGTCGACTCGGCATATGCTCGAAGAGATTACATCAGCCAACCTAACCATGATTCAGCGCGGAGCACATTGGACTTGTTTCACGAACAGATCATGAACGCACAACTATCGTCAGAATATGGTAGGACGCCGTCTCTTGTTCGCTAACGGTGAAATATAATGTAAAGTGGCTTTGATGAGCAAATTAACACTTTACGTGTGTCGACCATGTGTAAAAATGCCGTGAATTTAAACAGAAACTTCGCACGACTGGCAATTTTCGCGATTTCGACTGTGGCCAAAACCCATGTATGCCACATTTGTACACTGGATTAACTGGATCTCCCGCTCTGCGCATTATTCAAGTTTCTAGAGATGCCCTAGCCTCTTACAGTCTAGCTCGTTTCGGCATGATATGCATGCCACGTGCTATTAGTCGCCAACCGTTCCCATCAATGCGCCAACTTCACTCTTTTCTCTTCAGACTTCGCTCCATTCTCTTCACTTTTACGACATTCATCAACGCTTTTTCCAAACACAAGAGATTTGCGCTGAATAAATGTCGAGTTGTAATGCACTGTTCCGGTAATATTCCCACTATTTTTTTCATTAAAACGTCGATGGCTTTACGCATCAAGACATCTTTAATTAGAATGTCAAGATATTTCCCAATTATCGTCATTTTTTGCATTCCGGATCACGCCGCTTAAGCAGAACCGTCGTGAACTTCTGGTCTATAACAGAGCCATGAAGTTTTGCCTCATGATGTACTGGATGTGAAATGTCGGTGAGCTAACAGTGAGTTGATTTCGCATGCAATTGGCTCATCTACACGACAGCTGCCTGTGCTCAACACACTATTCGACTTGTTTTGGCAAAAAGCAAATGAATGCACCCATGAATTAGTGCAAATCCAAAGGTCACACAAACTGGTTGTCTGATCTCAAATGCTTTTCCGCTCCCCGACGTGGTTGAGGGTTACTCCGACACCTTGTCGATTTCAGCGACTGGCTCCTATAGCTTTAAACGTTTTTCGAAGATACATCATCACTCTGCTGCTTGTACTGTTTTTTAATTGATAAGTAGAATTCCAAATGTACAAGTTGCATACTTCTTGAAACATCAGCAAGTTACACATGCTTCACAGGAATTTCGGGAGCCGCGCGTATTCGAAAATATCACCTTTGGCGATCTGATTTTTTAAATAGATGCCATGCCCTTCCAATGGTGGCTAAGTCGAATTCCACAGCAATTCATTGTCTTTTGGTCGGCCAGTTGTTCCAACACAGAATGTTTTTTTCTACCAAACAATGTGAAGTATCTTTTGGTACAATCTTTTCAGAACCCTTAGCTTCCGCATATCCACCACTACATGTGCCACGTGCTATTAGTCGCCAACCGTTCCCATCAATGCGCCAACTTCACTCTTTTCTCTTCAGACTTCGCTCCATTCTCTTCACTTTTACGACATTCATCAACGCTTTTTCCAAACACAAGAGATTTGCGCTGAATAAATGTCGAGTTGTAATGCACTTGTTCCGGTATATTCCCACTATTTTTTTCATTAAAACGTCGATGGCTTTACGCATCAAGACATCTTTAATTAGAATGTCAAGATATTTCCCAATTATCGTCATTTTTTGCATTCCGGATCACGCCGCTTAAGCAGAACCGTCGTGAACTTCTGGTCTATAACAGAGCCATGAAGTTTTGCCTCATGATGTACTGGATGTGAAATGTCGGTGAGCTAACAGTGAGTTGATTTCGCATGCAATTGGCTCATCTACACGACAGCTGCCTGTGCTCAACACACTATTCGACTTGTTTTGGCAAAAAGCAAATGAATGCACCCATGAATTAGTGCAAATCCAAAGGTCACACAAACTGGTTGTCTGATCTCAAATGCTTTTCCGCTCCCCGACGTGGTTGAGGGTTACTCCGACACCTTGTCGATTTCAGCGACTGGCTCCTATAGCTTTAAACGTTTTTCGAAGATACATCATCACTCTGCTGCTTGTACTGTTTTTTAATTGATAAGTAGAATTCCAAATGTACAAGTTGCATACTTCTTGAAACATCAGCAAGTTACACATGCTTCACAGGAATTTCGGGAGCCGCGCGTATTCGAAAATATCACCTTTGGCGATCTGATTTTTTAAATATCCAATGGCAGTCGAATTCCGCAGCAATTAACTGTCCTTTGGTCGGCCAGTTGTTCCGACACAGAATGTTTTTTTCTACCAAACAATGTGAAGTATCTTTTGGTACAATCTTTTCAGAACCCTTAGCTTCCGCATATCCACCACTACATGGCCAAAAGAAGTTTTTGAATATCCCTGACATGGTTGAAGATAAAAGTAACTCAGCAGCAATGGAGTGTACAAAAAATACCGTGAGTTATTTTGAAGACTATTTCGAGCAATATTTGCATCGTGATCAATAAGGTCACTTCAGCAAATCGTTGGCAAGGTACCACACGAGAATCACATACGATTCACTAGAATCCACTGTGAATATTCATTTTCCATAAAGGTAGGGATGTCAACAGCCATTTAAATCATTATTTATGATGACAACTCATGATGATTTTGACTAGGCTATCCGTCCATTCACCATTTGTCCTACCTAACGCGCTGGCCGTCTCCGTGGAGTACAGAATTCAGAGCAATTGAGTTATATTTGAACAACGCCACTCACATTTTCTAGTCTTTTGGGCAAATTTGGTGACCTCTGTACGTATACGATTGAATTTCCCTAGTAAGTCTCCATACAGGGGAGTCTGCGGCTGTTTGAGAACTTGCCGATAAATATTTATTAAATTCATGAACAGTGGTTGCTAGTGATTTGTGTGAATATTTCCGAATAACCCTAATTTACACGTTCTTTTCTTCGGACAGATAATCACGTGTCTGCGTTATTTGTCATTTCGATCTTTTTGATGGAGATGATGTCATCAGTAAATCGATTTTCAGGCACGATTCTCCAGATTTTGTTGCACTACTAAGTGTGCGATTGGTAGTCTTATTTTTTGAGTCATGGGAGCAACGCTCCCCCCAGTGAATAAATATCAAGAAGGTTTTTTTCATAAAGGCAACTACCCACAAGGTTGCCGAAAACTCTTTGACAGCCCACGACCGGTTTCGCCCTTCTTGGGGCTCATCAGNGTAGGCGCAGCCCCGAGTTTCCGTCAATCTTATGTTTTACTTGAACCCAAAGTGGACCATTTTCGAGATTATTCTGAGATATCTCGAATATCGTGCCAACTGAATCATGAGGCGGCCTGTGTGCAGCACATTCAGTTGGAGGACATCATAAACGAGAGATTCAACTGAGTCTTCCGTGAAAACCAAATTGATTTGCAAATGAGTGTACTTCTCGATAGCAGGTAGGTTGCTGCAAAAGACGAAACCTGAAAAGCACTTAAATGAAGCTACACACAATGCCATAAAATCTTGTTTTGGCCTTAATTCGTAACAACAAACGCGATCATTTCCGGTTCGGCACATTTGAAATCGGTTTTCATTCTGAAGTTTTGTTCGGCTCACTCACACCCTTTGAAAATACGAAGAACAACGTGACCATATGAGTGACGAGAAAAACGAATCAGTCATAAATTTTGGGTTATCCTAACCAAAATTTAGTCTGAACGTAGTGACATATTCACTTGGTTGTCTGAAAGGCCCCTCTTGCCAGATGATACATCAGCTTTGTTTTTCCGAAAACGAGGAACCTTACCAGCTTACTATCGTACTTATTTTGTCATATTTCTCAAAAATTACAGGTTGCGGTACTAAAATGTAGGCTGATTAACGAGGTAGCACCGAGTGCGGTTACAAATGCTTGTCTACTTCATCAAGTTGAAAATAGAGTGAGTGCAATTGATTTGGAGGGCAAAATCACAACTTGTCAATGCTCCGAGGAAAGAGAAGAAAATGATCCGTCGCTGTTGGAAACTCACTTTAACTTATCCTAGGGAGTACCATCAGATGAGCATGTGTGATTCAAGCGCTTCTGTTTATCAGGGCGATAAGAAAGGCTGCATGTCTATAGACGTGATATACTACTCACCACAAATGAGGGATTCAGCTAGGTTCCAGTTCAATCTCCCGTCAAACCCAAGATGATATTCAAATCGGAGCATCTGTCGAAGTCTCTACATCCTTAACATAGTAGCTGAATGGTGTTTTAAACGGAACTATGTCTAAAGATTGCAATGCGGTATGTTATATCATGTATGACTGAGCAACCAGCTGTTGGAGAGCTCGAAGCAACCCTACAAACTCTAAGTGAATTTGAGCACGGACTTGTTTTACTTACCCGAAATCTACTTCTTATCTCTGAGTAGTGTAGGTTGATTCGTAAAAATTTCCAATGCCACGTGAAATACTTCAGTGAATTTTTATGCAAACATTTTGCATGGATAACACTGCTGAGGCATGCTCCGGAGTTGTTTGTTAGAGAAACACCAACTGAATAGTCACAGATTGTTGGACAGGGGACCAAAACTCTCATAGGCATCATGTTTAAAACATTACTATCAATCTT